CATGCATAGAGATAAATATCCAGGATGTATCTGCAGGCGCGTCTGTGTATGTATTTTGTACATTTGTTGCTATACGTGTATGTATGTACGTATGTATGTATGTATGTACGTATGTAACTATGTATCTATATCTATCTATATCTATCTATATATATATATTATAAACAAAGAAAGAGAGAAGGAGAGAGAAAGAGAGAGAGAGAGAGAGGGAGGTGTGTGTGTGTGTGCGCGCGTATGTCCGCGCGAGTGTGTGTGTGTGTGTGTGTCTGTGTGTGTCTGTATGTGTGTGATTCTGTGCGTGTGTGTGTGTGTGTGCGTGCTTGTATGTATGTATATGCATGTATATGCATATGTATGTGTGAATATGCATGTGTGTGTACATGTATGGTTACGTATGTACACCTATGTAAATGCGAATACTAAATCCTTTTCCTGTCTTGAGCTAGACATCAGTGGGGATGCGCTACCACCACACTTCACTACCACCGTCCCGAAAGCTAGTTCCTAAGTATGAACCTCATTCCTCTGGCTCCTTATGAGAAAGCCGAGGCTCAGCTCAAGGTAGAAGCTGGGGGTCGAAAAGTAGGGCTCTGGCAGTTCGACCTCGAAGGAGACCTGGAAGGGGACGGTCTTGGCCCATCGCAAGCCGCAGCAAGCAATGCAGATGTCTCGGGACTCAGGACGGCACCCCAGCTTCACAAGAAAACTGAACGAGGTGTTGTTTCTTCTCTGCTTGATTAGCCTGAATGGAGATTAGGATTTATAATCAGGGGTATAGGGGGAAAGACATTATGCTCTCCAATACCACCTGCCCAGCTGACTGGCCTCGCACCGCCACTGTTCGGGAAATCAGTTTACATATAAGCATGCAACATAGTCTAATGCCACAGAACGTCATGAACTATCATGTACTTACACATACTAGAACAGCATAAAGCATAATTCAGAGTCCTGTCCATATTCCGAGGCAAATACAAACACAAACATGACAATAGTAACTGAAATGAAGGGAAATACACATGTTAGTCATACATGTAAAAAAAACAACTATAATAGTTTGTACATATGGGCAATATGAATGTTCGTCTTTTCTTTCGAGACGCCCAGCCTGGAACGAGTAGGTTTTGTTCGGCTGGAGCTGGAGCGACTCCTGGGAACTTCTATAAGCTTCGCGATGCTAAACTTAAGACGGGGGCCTTAGCAAGTAGAATAGGATTCCTTTACGAGTTCTTTAGGCTGTAAGGGTGTAGTATACGGATCTTGATGATTAGAATGTTGCCCTGGGGTACACCACAACAATAACTAGATTCAGGCTTCTACTACACTCAGCTTGTGACCTTCTAAACCGAAACCCTAAACCGCTGACAAGGCGCCCATGTAAGCTTCCGGTCCGACGCACTGACGACTCCAAGCAGAGACTCCTCGCAAAGCAAAGCCCTCTCAACCATGACATTAACAGGGTTACTGTGGTAGGATTATTTGCATAAGCGTTATTGTTCATCTGAATTTCCGTATTGCTATTAGTATTCCTATAATTCTTACTAGTATAATGAGCATTAATAATAGTATTGTTGCTGTTATTGTCCTCCTTATAAGCAAAAACTAAGGATTGAGGGCTTGGGCATGGCAACACACAGCGGCGGCAAGTATATACATCTCGACACTCACAGCCAGGGTACCGTCTCCAGGCCGGGCCGTAGGAAGCGCACCTCGGCCAGGGTTGAAACACTGAATGTTATACGTCCAGGCGCCTGTCTGTTTCACGTGTCACCTGCATGTATCCATGCCGGTTGCTCAAGGTGCAGAGTACTCATCTACAGCTGTGCGCCTGTAGAAAACGAGACACCTGTAGTTTGCCTGTCTTCCTGTGCGCTCTGCGAGGGGATACACGACCAGGTTAACTCTAAGGGGGGTGGTTAGGATTGATGCTATCCTCTGCTGTCTGGCTTTCTAACGCAGTGTTGACTGAATGCACCAACGAAATGTCGTGATGACGACGGGAGTATGGATGACTCTCTTGGTTTTCCAAAGAACAAGTTACATGTGAAACGTTGCAAAATTGCAGGAAAATCTGCAAAGAGCGGTACTCCTGCATGCTTTACCATGCTTCCTGTTAGCTGTTATCTGAACCTCGTCATGGTCATGCTAACACCTGTTGGGCTATCTTTGAAAATGGCGGAGCACTGAGCAACAACAGCAGCTACTTCCAGTTATGCTCTGCATGCTGTCACCTCAGAAATGGTGCACTAAATGCGATCGGCGTGTTGGTGCAAGACTTCGAAATGGTCGGCCTTCCTCTCACATGAAGCTTTCCGAAAATAGGGGACCCTAGTATAGTACCCTAAATAGTAGGATCCCTATGATAAGGACCCCAAAATACGGTATCCTTAATTTTCGGAAAGTCCCATTACTCACATAGTAACCCTTATAGTAACCTTATAGAAACCGGGTGCTTCGGCCAAGCTCAAGCTGGAAAGCAGGGCGGCGTTGGCTGGACCGAGGAGGCGCAGCGAAGAGGCAGAGCCAGGCACCCCCTCGTGCAGGGCTTAGGGATTTTTTCCCTCTCGCATGGCTGAGGTACTATGCCCACTAGCGAGGTTGTGAAAGTGCCAATACCGCAACTGTGCTAGACAGGACATCCAAGTCAGGGACGCAACTCAATTAAGTCGACTACAAAGACTCAGATCTCCCGTCATCGGGTAATGTTGGCTGCAGTGATCCCTATATGCACGGCAATAGAAACCTGTCATGGGTGACCACCATCAGACAACACGACCATAGCTACAAAGAGCTAGTGCAAAGAGCTGTACCAGTGCGACGGACGGGAAGGCAAAAGCCACACGCCCAATTAAAACAAATTACCAATTACCAATTCGACATGCCCCAAATTACGAATTAACCCTCCAGCAAGCAAATGTCACACGACATGACTACGATTGTCACTGCGCGGGGCCACAAAGGCTCAATACAAGGTGAAGGCCACACAGTGGGGCGAAAGCATGTGTGCAAGGCAGAGGCAGCATAAGCAGACTTCGCAGACTTTCCAAACTCCCGGCGACATCCCAACCGACTGGCAAGACCAGAGCTCGCGTTGAATGGCCTCCAGACCAGGGTTTGCCATATGACAGCATCATACAGTAAACCCCAGCCTGAGCTGCTCCATGTCATGAAGAAAAAGTCTAGACACAGGGTGGAAACGCCACCCGCTCAAACGAGGCGTCTTACACACCTCGGTTCAGCTCTGTGTGCAAGTCCATGGGTGCTCAGTCGACGAAACCCACACGACATCTTCGTACGGGGGGCCGCTCTCAGATATATACCGAATGATGCCACAGAAAAAGCTCCTGTTATGCCCACCTGAACACTGCTACTCATTTGAGAAGTCAGCCTCGGTCAGATCATGTGTGCCGCGAACCATCCACTCGGCCAGCATACCACGAACCACCAGTCCCCGAAAGTTGATCGGGTGTACGATGTGGCCCAAACGATTCGTCAGGGGTCAGAGGCACCGGCCATGGCAGTCACAACAACTTCTCCCAAGTGCAAGACTCCAGAACCAAGCTACACATCCAAACGCAAAAGCCTGAAGTGTAGCCTCAGCAAACTTTGCTAACTGCCTAGTTGAAGATTCCCCAGCTGTGGATGTGGCGGTGTGGAGGTGAGCATCGTGGTAGCATCGCAGTCTTAGGGTTTAGGGTTTAGGGTTTAGGGTTTAGTTTAGGGTTTAGGGAACCCGGAACGCTGGAATTTCAGAGTTGTCTGCAGAGATCGTCGGATTTCTGACCCTATTGCTGCTTTAGCCTGGTAACCTAAGCTCATCGGAGCTCCTGAGCCCTACTTCCTAGGTTCTCGCTGTCGAGTTCCACCCGTCAGGCCCAGCTTCGGATGGGGCTGTCTATAAAGGATTTATGACCCACAGAACGAGCCTGAACCCAACAGGAATGAAAGCTCTTGCCTGGACCACCAAGGTCTCCGGAACGCCAAAGACCGAGAAAGGGCGCAGGTAACCTGAGACGGGTTCTGACAGCAGCAATGCCGCGAGGGAGGAAGTGGTCCAAGCGGCCACTCTCCACGAAGAGCACAGGCAACATGCCATGATCCTCCAAAGCACGCACCGCACACCCAGACAGCTTGATTGCAACAGCACCTGCAGGCCGTACGGGTCCTGGTACAGATGCCAGCTTGAAGCATCGCCCTGTTGCAGGATCTGTCCGCTGAGGTGTGTCACACACACTGCTCCGAAGCACAAAACTCTTCGGGCTCGCCTGTTGGAATGCGGCTGGACTCTCTGAGCCTTCCACGGCCGTCCCAGCAGAGTCCAGCGTCCTGAAGCAGATGCCGGCGGTCTGAACACAGCAGGCAGCTACCCACCAAGGCCCACCAACACCCACCACATGTGGCTCAATGCAGATGTCCAGATGAAGAAGCCCACGTCGCTCTCACTGGCTGCATTGACCACGGTTATGCCGAAGCCGTAGTTCCGATCCGCGAGAAGCCACCCAGAGACCGAAAGTAAAGCTCGGTTCCGGCTTGCACCTTCAATGATTGAAAAAGCGCACAACACGGATAAGACACGCGTCGCTACTGCCGCTACTGTTGGGCTCACCGATGTCCAGAGTCGACACGGTGGAACTTCGAGACATCCCTGAGCTACGGCAGTGCAGGAAAGCCACCTGCACTTCTCTGCCGGGGTGTCTGCGCAGCACTGCAGTTCCCCAGGGCCGGTAGCGGCACGGTTCGTCCTGGCGTGACAGTAGGAGTGCACTAAGGAAAATCGCAGCAGCAGTTGCTGTAGCCGTAGAAATAACCGCAGCCACAGCAGCAGCAGCAGCAGCAGCAGTAGCAGCAGCAGCAGTAGCAGCGGCTGTCGCGATGGCAGAAGCAGCAGTAGAGTTTCCGTGCGCAGGGCCACCCCCTCCTCCTTAAATATCAAGCCCCGGGTTGGCCTGGTAAGCCCTCAGTGCTGTAGATCAGGTCGTTCAAGTGACTGGGGACGCAACCCGTAAAGTCGAAGCCCACAGGCGCATCGATCACCTAAGCCGAAGGAACTGAGAGCCAGAGCCAAGCGGATGGAGGAGAAAAGACTCTACTTGTTGACGGCCGTGCTTGTGGTCCGTGACGCACACATTGCCTTGAGATGCCTTTCAAAGTCTAACTTGTCAATTGAATTCTCTTCAGACTTCAGACCGTCAGCAGGACGACTTCTTAAGAGGCAGCCCTTGTGAAGACAGGGAGGCATTGCACAGCTGTCTAGCACCACTCCAATGACAAAGGCCTACTTCCCTGCGGCGACCTCAAGGAGATTGGTGGGGGGCAGCCACAGGGACGCTATCAACACCAGTGGCATCAAACATGCACTCGAGGTGCGATGGTGCCGCTGGGGCCCAGGTCTTGGACCAAGGATATGAAAACGTTCAGGATGTTCTGGCGGTTCACCGAGAAGACGGTCGGCTGCCTGCAGCACGGAACAGCTTCGCAGCAGAGTCCTGTTTCCACCGCTTGCCCAGAGTGGGTTTTGAGACGCTGTGCTAATTGCAATAGGTCGCAAACAAACATTAAGGCAACACGAGTTCACGGAAGCAGGCCAGGGCACATTGTTGCAGACAGCTTCTCCAAAACAGCAACGTTCGAAACCTCAGCTGCGGGATCGACTGAAGGGATGAAGAGCCTGGCGAGCATGTGCAAAGCACAGCACGATCAATCGCATGAGATTTTCGAGCTGAACCCTTTGCCCAGCTGCCCAAAGGTCTGACTCCATGGGATCCGCTGACGCACTGAAGTTCCAGGCGAGGCTATATGTAGTGCTCGACCTGGCTGGCAAACCAGAACCCGGTGAAGACGCCAAAGACTGGAGTGAGGCAGCTATCTTCTAGTCAACATCCAGGCGTCAGCTGCTCGCCCGCGCTTGATAGCCGCGCTTCCCAGTGATTAGAGGCAGAAAGCCTTGGCCCACAACTGGGTGTAGGGTTCCGGGTTTAGAGTTGCATGACAACCAGCTCCTAGGATGAATGCAGGACACTTTCAGTGCACATTCAAGAGGCAGAGAAGCAGGCAACTTGGTGAAGTTGTCTTGATCCGAAGGTGGAACACCGGACTTCCGAAACCTTGCCCAGCCGCTGCGTCATGGGCTCCAGTGGGTTCAACGTTTGCAGAGCGAAGAAAACCCGCTGCCCGGCATGCATCTTTTGGCCAGCTGCAAACCTCCGCTCATGGCAGCTCTTTCAGTGGTCCCTCGCATGGAGAACAATAACTTTCAGCGTCCACTAGCGTGCTTGTTCCTGCTTTTCTCATACATTGGGACAACCAGCTTCACGACATGACGTTTAGTACTCTTACAGTATTATAGTGCAATATAGCACTGTAGTCTTATAGCATTATAGTCTATTCTACTATTGTGTTGTAATGAGATGATGTAGTGTTATAGCATCATAGCGATATAGTATTATAGCCAAGCAACGTGTACTGGCAGTGTGTCATTCCCATCGACGTCAGCCAAGAGCCCTCCCCGGAAGTACCCAACTCTCCTCTCGTCGGCTGCAACGGACACGTGGACTTTCTAAACTTGCGGAAGCAGGGCGTGCAAGAATCCTCGAACGAAGTCGGGGAAGCCGTCAAGGTTCCGGTCCAGCAGAAATAGAGTCCTAACTGGCCGATCCAGTCTCAATATGCTCTGTCCAGATCGGGTGGTCATTTGACGGCTGTGTGTTGAAGCGTCCGGTCATGCACAGCTTCTGGTCGCGATTTCGCTTGAGCACACAAGTAGTCGAATGAGTGGACTCGATTGTTCGAGGCCGATATCATATTCCAAAGACTCATGCTGGCGCCTTTGTTTCGATTGCCTAAGCAGTTAACATGGGCGAGTGAAGAAGGACCTAATGCATTATGTATTGGTAGCACTGTCAATCCTCGGAGTTGGCTAGGATTCAGCTGCTATGATTTAGCTTGGCAAGCAGTCAGACATTAAGGCATCGATGCAAGTTGCAATTTAGCTTGCACATTGCTGAACACTCCTGACTGCCTCCATTCCATGATTCCTACAGTCGAAAGGCCTGTACGTTTCCCATAGGCTGATAGACCGAAGGGGGCACGCAGGACTGTGATGTATCAGGGCTCCCGGAGCTCGCCGAAGGTGATCATCAAGAACCAAAGGGATCCCTCCATACTGTGGCTGTGCAGAACTGGCTCCCTGACGAGTGGCTGCACGTCACCGTCAAAGGGAGCCGTCTCACCCCCAGCCAGCGGCAGCTCACTGACAAGCGCTGTGCCTGACGACTTGGGCTTGCAACTTCGGAAGCGACCAGAAACCGACTCAAGGTCATGCCCACCTCAATTGCCATGCTGGAAAGTGCGACCCAGTGACTATTGTCCAACTCATGAGTTACGTGGCCCGCGTCGAGGACTTGACAGGCCAACCCAGCAGGAGGATGCAACCTCGGAAGCTGCAACATTCAGGGTGCGAATCGGCGCTCCCCGTAAAGGCGTGCCAGTAGTGTCAGGTGCTGTGCACAGTAGATGCCTGCACCCCCCTTACATCTCCACGGCAAATCTACAACCGAGCACAAGTCTTGGAACCGCATCCTTGCACCTCATGCCGAGGCTCACATCCGTTATTATAAGCTTCTGAGCACGGAAAAGACATGCAAAACCAAATTGCAGCGGTGCGGCTCGATCGTGGTGACTCCCCCAGTAGTTGCACCGAAACCGATCTGAACCTTGTCTGTGTGGGTGCAAATAGTGAGCCGGCAAGCCTAGTCGAAGTGATGCCAGGATTGGTCCTGTTGCAGTGAAGATGCATAGAGCATGTTCCGCTGGCCGACGAAAGGTCGGGGTCCCGAGCCCTAGCAAAACCCAAATACTAAGACAGCACACAAACTGGCTACCTGCCACTTTCATGTTCCACTCGTGACAGTATCGACTGAACAGAAACCGAGAGAGAAGGAGGGAGCTGCGTGCATGAAAAAACTCAGTTCCAACTGTACAGCGCAGCCGGACAGCGACCACATAGAGAGAAAGCAGACGGCCTCACGCCCAGTTTGCAGTATCCGCGCCAGGGACGATGGGCTCCCTGAGTAGCACAAGTCCGCCCGGCTTGAAAGCTAAGAGGGCGACCACTGCCTTCTGAGAGGTAGGAGAGATAGCCGATGTTTGGAAGGTACCTTGGCATTGCAGTCAGCATCTCAAGGGAAGGCGCTTTGAGTCTTTGGGTGGGGAGTAGGCTCCTTGCAGCCGATGCGACTGCGGCTCTGCATCGTCACTGTTGGTAAGCTGTGCTGGGAGCTGCATCGGAAAAAGATCTGTGGTTGGATTCCTGCACGCCGCGGCATCAACACCAGGAAAGTCCCGAAAGCCACCCTGCGACCAGATGCATGCAAGGCTCGGCAGGCTCAAGATGGAAAGCGCGTGCACGATGTTGCCTACGGCAGTGTCCATAGTCGCGGGCAGCTGCACGCGCAGGACCACGTAGCGCTCCAGGTAGCTCCGGAAGACCATGGGAAGCAGTTGTTCGACCAAGCAGTCAGGGATCCCACAGTCATAGCCCGGAGAAGCGGCACAAGAGGAGCTGCAGGCACCGATGGGCAAACTCCACTGGGTGATGGGCAGGAGATACATGCGGAGGTAGCTGCCCTGCTCGATGCCAGGCAGGTTCGATGCCGACAGGCTCAGTGTCAGATTTACCGCCCCAGCCACGAGGTGCTGTACCCTGTCACTGTCTGCATTCTGGAGCTCAAGATTGAGCCCAGAGCTGGCGATGGGACCCGCTTCAGTACCTCCCTCGCGCAGCTCAACACCTCGAGAGCTGTCCCCAAAAACAAGAACAAAAATAAGAGTAATAATAATAGTAATAAACAATAAGAAGAAGAATGATACTGATAACAACAACAATAATAATAATAATTATAATTATAATAACAAGGTTTGGGTAACGTCACGGCATCTGCTAGCATGGCAACTGGATCTAACTGCTCACGCAAGCCGCCACACAAACGTGGATTCCATTCACAAGCAGGTCTACCAGAACAACTATACACCACATGCCAAGACGATTTCCCATGCACGGAAGCAACCGCAAGAACACACGCAGTCGCCCATGCAGCCGAGACTACTTGCTCGCTCGTACACCTGGTAGCGCTTCGCACAGCCTCCACGAGGCCACAGATCCCTAAAATAGGGACCCTTACACTCTAATTATAATAAGGAACAGAGCAAATTCGTCGTTTTGTGCCAACATCGACCCTAGCGAAACCCCAGGCAGGGGACACCCGAGCATCTGAAACTCCACCGCACGGATGGCTGTTGCAACAGCTTGCAACAGCTGGGAATCTAAAGGGTTTCTTTGGCGGCGCAAGTCTGCCGCTAGCTTTCGGCAAAACAGAGCAAGGACGACCGAGCCCTTGTCACACATGCATCCGGGGCTCAAAGCAGGATCCGAATGTGGTGCTTTAATTGCTGAAATGATCGAGCAGGTCTAAGGGTGGCGTTCGGGGATGGTTGGTTGGGCTGCGTCATTGAATTTTCAGGCACACGTTCTTCAGTCTTTCTTCGCCGCGGCAGCTACAATGCGGCCAAAGCTCGGAGACAAAATCGTGACCCTTACTGATTAGGTCCAGGGCCAGGCAAATGGTTTATGACCCAAACCCTAATCCCTCGCTATGACAAGTTTCGACCAAAATTGTCTGTACAAATTCTGTCGGCGTTCCGCTTTGCTCACCTGTCTACTGCCACTCTCTCTCTTGCTTGCGCCGGTGGCTACCAACAAGTCAGTCTCAGGTGGTCAGTACGTGCGGAGATGAAGGATGCTGCAGCATTAGGGTCGGCCTCCATCAGCATAGAAGCAAGCTACATCCAGGTCCAAGACCTCTTCCAGGGGGATCAGGTTCACCGCCACTGCGTCCAACACCTCATGGCTGATTGGGTGTGTGATCTGTGCTGGATCTCCAGGAGCCATAGTTTCCAAAGCTTACAACACTGGGCTCCGGGCTGACGGTTTAAGGCTTTTTTACATGTGAGGGTGAATGGTTTACGGACCCAGCGAATTCAGCGATGTGCTGCCAGATCCCCAACTTGCCCAACTTCGCCAAGCACAACGAGTTTTGCTCAGACCATCAACCCTGGTGGTGTCTTTGGCTTTATAGGGTGTTCACTGCATGAGGCAGGCCGCCAACACGAGCCGTCGGGGTCGTTTCTTCGCCTCTAGATATTTGTTTGGGGGGGTCTAGTTGTTTAGTGGTCGCTAGTACCGTACTAGTACAATAGAACAGTAGCAGTACAATCGTAGTACAGTAGTAGTACAGCCGTGCAGTGGCAGTACAGTGGTAGCGAGTGTACATGTCCCAAAAAAATTACAGCCTGGACTATTGAGGGATAGATTTTATCCTCCAATTTGTGTGCAGGGCCACATTTAGCCAATTGAGGGGACCTTTATTAGTCACGGGCCCACGTTAAGGCTCTGTACAGCCTCACCATATGAGAGGTGTCTTTTTTCGCTGCTTGGGTCGTCCCACCTTGCAGCTATGCTACCCTACGTGGCCTACATGGTATTTAGGACGTATTCAGTGCTGGCAAGTCGCGCAGGGACATGAAAGCCTCTGCACTTTCGGTGGTGCCATACGAATAAAATGTCAACTCAAGTTTTTAAACTTTTTCCCGCAAAAACATTCAAAATTAAGCCCCTCCAGAAGTTAACATAAGCACCACACTCCTGGAGGAGGTCTCATGCTTAGGTTTGGGCTTTGGACTCCGACGAAGTTTGGGCTTTAGGGCTCAAGGTTCAGAGGCCCAACTGACGGCAAGGGACCAACTGGTAGGTGCAAGAACTGGTGCCGCATCGGTTTCGCAGCCCAGAGAAGCGCTCGAAGAGGATGGTGAGCTCTTGCCTCATCCAGCGTTGAACTTGTGAAATCCGTCGACGACCTCTAAGACTCTAAGACTCCCTGGCTAAAGTGTCAACTTTCAGTTGCAAGCAAGAGTTGCTGACCCGTCTCGCCGTTGGCACCCACATCCTCAAGCCAGCATCCTTGCACAAGATTTGCAAAGCGAAGCGCACACGAAGCATAAGCTGTGGTGGAAAACAAAAGCGTGACCTCGTGGCACGGGAAAGCTGCCCACTGCATCTGACCAAAGCTCCCGGAAGAGCAGGCCGCAGGCGGCCTGAACTTTCGGATCAAAGTGTTTGGCTGCGGCATTCAGGGACTCTGTGGCTGAAGTGTGCTCAAGAAGGCTGGGAAGAATTTGATGGTGCCTCTTCTGCCTAATCGGCCTGAGCAGGTTCAAAAGTGTGGTACTCGGCAGCCCTCCACACAGCAGGTGGCGAGCAAATGCCATGTTGGGTTGCCAGTTGCTGCATTGGCAACGGAAGTTTGCAAGGGCTTAGGGTCGGACAGGATACCAACCAAAGCCCTCACATGAGCAGAATAGAAGTAGCAGCTTCCGGCCTGCGACCTGCCTTGCGCAGCAGTCGTGGCCAGCCGCAATTTGCCTCCCAAAACAAGCCATCAGGTGGGAAAAAACACAGGCAGTGCGTAGATTGAATAGATGAACCTTCATGCAAGGCGCCGATGCCCGAACACTTCACAGTACCCAAATCAGTGAGCACGGGAGTTCTAGGTGGAGCACATTCAGCAACAACAGCGTGGAGACAAGTGCATCGAACAAGCAGTGGCAATTCGCGGTGCGATCGGCACACTCTAACTCTGACACAACAACTGAACTTCCGTACCTGTGTCCAGAAAGCGGATGACCAGCAGCATGCGCCCCACGGAGCGCCCTGATGCCAGGAGGCCACCGAGTCTTGAGCATACCCACTTTCACCAAGAGGTGCTGCACAAGCAGCACAATACACAGCACTAGATGGAGAGAGCTAGAACACTATACAACACCCCTTGAAGCCCCCCCCCCCCTCCCCCCGACCCCT